GATTTTCCAACCAACCTTCTAACTCAACGCGTATTTTACGCTTCAACCCAAGGGGTGAGCGATCTCTGGATCGTGGAAGTTGATGTGTGCACGTGAGCGCCACTGATCGATCACGGAACAGTCTTCGGCAACAACGGCATCAGCACGGCAATACTGCCGGCTGACTCCAAGCCAACTCGATAATTCTTCGAGCACAAATAGAATCTGCTGCTCAAGTGGAACAAGAACTGATTGAAATTTATTTATTCTGCAGTACGGAATAAAATCTGAATCTCTTTTGTCGTCGTCACCACCACCGAGAGTATTGTGATCAAGAGTCGCGGATGTGCGAGAGGTATGCGCAATTCGATGGTGACGTGGAGTACCAGGAGGCGACAATGCTGGCCGTTTCTCGGCTCTGGATGGACCCACTGGGATGTTTGCTTCAAGGCGACAATCTTCACCTTCGCCAAGCTTAATCTTCGCGGTCAAAACCTCTCGGGTATCTGGTGCGGTTGTCCGTTCCCAGCCAGGATGGTTGTCGGCGAGATGGGAAGGCATATTGTACTTCCAGTGAGTCTCTGTACAGAGGGTGCATCGAATTGGAACATTGGTGCAAGGTTTCGTAACCGTGGACTTGGAGGCGGCGGTGATTTGAAACTCATACACCTCATGACAGGAGGATGTGGCTTTCCCACCCCGGATGGCGAGGGAACAACCACCACTGGATGTAGTCTTTCCACAGAACCCGCAAGGATAAGTTGGAGACACCTAGAAAACTGTTGAGTAGTGTGTAAAAAGGTGTCGGACATAAATTGAATATTCACCGGTGTGATTACCTGATCTTCTTGAAGTCCGCGCAGAGATAAGAAGATGTGTGTACCCATGTGGTTCTGGCGATCCGGGCCAGTGACGGCCTTTCCACATACACAGCATTTTCGGCGGCCTTCCTTCGCGCTTGGAGCGGTGACTGAGGGGAGACAATGTGAAACATGGGTTGGCGGCGTGCTCAGGTTCTCTGCCAAGGTTTTAGAACAAACAATTATGAACAGTGAACCACATACCGTCATTGAAGTCAGTTTCATACGGGAAACTGCCCCCCTCCTTTACTGGCCCATACACCGGGATCTTTAAACGAACGTCTTCGTTTGCAGCCCGAGCTGATAAAGTCGCCTTCATGCTCTCGAGTTGTGAATTGGAAAACACCCAGGTTGTTTCCACACCATTGGCAACTTCGGGTATTTTGTCTGCGACGTCTTCGAGCAGCCCGCGGGTTGGGGTGAGTTCTGGGGACGACGAGAGCGGCAGCACCAGACAACCATTTACGCAAATGCTAAGATGTCGCTGGAGAGCAACCGAGTTTGATGTTGCGCGCTTTGCCTTCACGGAATCAAAACCAATGAATTCCGTCGTCCAGGCCCAAGAGAGTGTTTCAGCCGGCCCCACAAACGGTACCAAGGACAAGATCTGGCCCGTGATTTCGTACTTTGTATCGGGCAGTTCAATCTCGGCCGTGGGAGCAGCGTCAAGGTAGGTGGGAGGGTTACTGGTGTGAGTTTTGATAACAGTGCACTGGAGAATAGCCAGGGAGACTTGACTCGTGTTCACCGCCACGAGGGTTGCAAACAGGCCCTCGAGCTTGAGTAGATGCTGATCAGCCGTCGTGTCATGGATTTTAGAGGAAGAGCGATCCCAGTGGTCTCCACCATATGAGAAACAACAGATGCGCAGAAGGCGATCGTGGCTTTTCCCTCGGTCGATATCAAAAGTCAAACTGCGGAGAATACTTTTCTTGTGCACGACTTTCCGCTCGTCGTCTGGATCAAGTTTGATCCAAACCGAGTGGGGGGGTTGAGATTCGAGCTGCTCTGCTTCAAGATTCTCCGCCGCAAGAACTGCTGCACCATCGAAGTTGAGAATATCTGATGTCGATGGAACTGACTGGCTGGCTGGCGGAGTATCGGGGGTAGGGATGGGGTCCTCTGGATCATCCAATGAAGACCGATCCGCTACATCTTTGGATACCCCCGGATATTTCCCTCCCTTCGGTCGCATCAAATCAAAGCCTTTCTGGCGGAATATGGCGCCGAAATCCATGTGGTATCCAAATTTCCCAAGATATGCAACTGCCAGCTGAACCCCTTCGGCCCAGCATGACTGGAGGTTGCACGAGCCCGCGGTTAGATCTCCGACAAAGTTCCGCGGAGCCATATGGTCAACATCTCGACTACGTCCCAATGAAAGACGTCGCGCAAGCTTCTCCAGATGCGGCCACTTCGCATAGATCTGGTCTACACGAAGTGCTGACCCAAACCGTCGGCGAAGTTCATCAGTGGCCATGTTCGGCGAGTGGCCCCCAATCATTCTCGACCTCCCAAATAGGATTTCGAGGACGTCATCACCGAGAAGGCAGAGAAAGAATCTGAGACTTGGGTTCAAAACTTTCGAGTGCGTGACCTTGAAGATGGCGCTTTTTACCATGCACTGAAGGTGCCCGTACAGTTGATTGGGCATGAAGTCGGACCCGTGTTTAAGGAATAGTGCGCACGCCAGATGCGCAAATTTCACGAGCTGGATGATTTGCTCGGAAAGCGAGAGGGTAGGGTTGATGAATGGGTCCAGAAGAGCGTCGAACATTTCACCGAGGATGCAGAGCGCGCGGTAGGTGTTGGCTTCTGCTGGAGTAAAATCTGAGGAATCAAGCGAGCGCAAATCCGCCATAAGGGTGAGGAGTTTAACCGTGGAGGGAACGTGCTGTGGATTTAGCAATGCATGTATGCTCTCCCCAGACCAGTCATGCCCAGCTAGGCGTTCCAGCCAGTGCGCAAGCATGTTTTTGTTAATCACAACACCGTTGGAAAGAATTCCCTGCTTTGAAGACAGAGTTCTTCGGATACCTGAAGGATACATTAAAACAAGAAATAAGAATTGAAATTGGGGAGCGTACATTTCCAGTTGTGCTTCGGATCGAACTCCTCAGTCAGGAAATCGGCACTGGTAAATAGATTCAGGCCGGGCAGCCCCGAGACATACTTGTACAATGGATCTCCGGCCGTGAGCTCTCGCTCCATACAGATAAGGTGCAAGGCAGCTGTTCGGTTTGGGTCTCCGTCGGAAGCGATGGCAGCCAATGGACCATGCTTTACTTCGCCATATGGGGAGAGCTTCCAGCCAGGGACAAACATTTGAAGGTTTATTGCCGCAGTTTGCCACGAGCTGTGTTTGCAGGTCGGCATAAGAAAGATTGGCCTGGCACCATAGTCTGTTGCGGCATGGCGGGAGATTGCAGCGACACTGAATTCCTTCCCAACATGAACACGGCCGTCCCGAACTGCCTTGACCGCAGCGTGAACAGAGGTAAGGTCAGAACCCATTTTGAAGGTTTCCAACTCGGTGGTCGCATGCTCGCATAGTCCCGCTATTTCGTCTGTCGCGTCTAAATAACAAAGGCGACCGTCGCCCGCGATTTCGTCTTGTGATAGTGTATGCAAGACCTTTCCATCTCCTCCGGTGTCAATGTCTTTGAAAAGCATCTCAATATTTTTCAAGATGTCCCGCATCTTGACACTGCCAACGGTGATGCCCAAGGAGAGTTTACGGCGCTGGTCAGCGATGGTAAATCGAGTGGGGAGGGCGAAGGGAGAGTTTTGGAGGGCATGGAGGAGTGAATCTCCTCCGTATTCATAGATGAGGATAGCGAGGTCCTTGTCGAGCGCGGTGTAATTGCGCGGGTGATATGAATTTCGAATCGCGAGCCGCACCATTTCCGTGGTTTTCGATGCGCTCCAGCCCTCCTTGTGTGCATTAGAAAGGAGTCGCGGAAGAGCAGGTACATTGTTTGTCGATATGACATCAACAAGGGTCCGAAAAGACTTGACGTGTTTGTTTGCACGAATCAAGGACTTCCGACAATTATCAGTCTGACTCCGAACAATGAGACAAATTTTCCTATCGGACATATTGCATACACACCTTCAATCATTCATTTTTGACTTGCTTAATGACCGTGTTCAACCGCTGCACAAGCTGGTCATAACTGAGGCGAGTTGACGGTTTCTTCCCAGGAAATTCCCGAGCCCAGGTGCGGACAATATTTACTAAAGGCCCTAGACTGAGGCACGAGGTACAGGCCACGGAATGGCCTAGCCGTGATCCAGTGCACCGTCTGGAACGAACTCGAATCACGGAGGCAACAACTTCGACCGACAGCAGGTTATGCCTGGGATCAATCCGAGAGCCGGGGCGATGAATTGAGAAAGGATACGAGTCTAGAATCCAGCCAATATTCCAAGAAAAAGTGGTCCCCGTACACCCATGTACATTCTCGACGGGGCTTGATTCAGGTGGGTGCATAGAGACTTGTGCCAAAGCTTTGCTACTGGTATCTGTGGAAACGGTCTCAGTCCCAATAAACAGCGTGGAAGAAGTGGCATACCATGAGCCAGTATACATTTGGAATCCTCTCTATGACACTGCATAGGTACCGAGCCCGTTACCCACCCGTGGTTCACGTATTCACAGCACCAAGTGCAGAAAACAGCGCGCGTTCCTACTCGTACATCTCCGATCTCGGAGGGTGGGTTTTGATTTTGGATGTCAAGAAAGGGGGAGGGAGGAGTTTGAGCTATGCGGAAGGTGGATGTCGACGCGTTTTGCCAAGATGTAGACGCGTTTTGCCAAGATGTAGTCGAGCCATTTTCCCAAGATAGATTTTGATTATTTTGCAGTGGAGAATGTACACTATTCACATGGTTATTAGCTCTCCATCGTGGTTGCTGCAGATTGGGGCCGGAACGCGCTGAATGTGTGAATGGGACGCGATGGACGCGTCGTGCGGAGTGGTCGGTTACAAGTGCTTGGCAGACTGATGGCCGCCCGAGCGCCGCTGACTCAGACCTGCCGTATTTGGGGGGTAGGTACCCCGTGGGAATATATCCACGATCCGGAGATCGAACACCTCTTGCCTGCACAGACTGGAGAGGCGTCGACGACTGCGAACACCATGCATAGCGATGGACGCGGCATTAATGGGGTAGTGGTAACCTGGGTCGTTGCCATCAAAAAGGTGTCGATTCGTCGAACTTACTCGACCCGCCGGGGGTTCGATTCCCTCTTAATACATGTGGGGTTGGCAAGTTTTTGATATTCTTCTTTTTATTTCTGTCTCCCCGATCCTTAGATCGCGTCCGCATCCTCACTCACTACGTGACGCGTCGCACACATTTTGTTGTTGTTGTTGTTGTCTCTCACTCGGGCCGGTTAAGTTTGACCATGATTGATTCAGATTATCCGTTCTTTAAGATTTTGCTCGTTCGGCGGTGCCCATCACGTTGCACATGTTGCATTTTTGCTCCGTAAGGCTTAATTAACGCGTTTTCGCTCCCACGCAGGTTCCTCATGATCTGCTACGGACTGTGCTTAGGATTTCTTTCTCCTGCCCTCAGCTGTCCAAGTTTGGCTTCCTCGGCATTCTAGCCAACCAACCTCGTCCATATCTGCGCTTTATACCTGTCAAAAGACCCGTCTGCTGCACTGCCGTTCTCTTCCTCCTCTCCTCCCCCCACCATCCCTGCAGCAATTTTCGGCCAGTCGCCTCGCTTGCGACAGAACTGTTGTTTTGTGCACCAAGAGACTATGCCGCCAAGCCCATCTCAAACCATGCACCAATAAGTTAGTTTTGCATCGAAGTCCTTTAAGTTTGCAAGCCAGGGCAGACACTTTATCTTTCTTGACACTGGGCTGCACATTGACTACGGCCGGATCGATTCTTTCGTGCTCTGGATCCATCTATGAATGCTCGATTCAGAGGTACAACAAACAAACCTACATCGACCCCCGCTCCGCCGAAGGACGTCCTGAACGACAGATCTACGACGCCGTCTACCAAGATCCCCAGCGCGTGAAGCACCTTCTCGCATTTTGCTTTTGATTTTTCTCTTTCTTCCTTGCCAATCGAATCATCAATTCGTGCTTCTTCCTCTCGCTCCTCCTTGCTCTGCTAGTGCAAACGTTCCGATTGGCCAAATCTATGGATGCGACACAATTTCCCGTCAATGTAGCAACCTCATTTATCAATCTCAAGCTTTCTCCTCCCCAAATGACTGCGCTTGGCTGGAATCGGCCTATCGGCGAGAAGGTAACCTACCAGAAAAGAGCTCCCTGAGCTCCTTCGTCACACCTGGCTGCGGGGGCAGAGCACGAGGGGTGAGTGGTAGCAAACAGTGTCGAATGGGTGAATCTCTTCCTTCTGTCTCCAATTTGTACGGAATGCAGAACGAGAGCGCGCGCTGATGGATGTTCGCAGTGCCTGACTGCTCGCGATTCGAAGGAGAAGATCCGGGTGAGGATGTGCCGGACTGGCACGCGTGACGCGTCCCATCTCGCAGGTGGTTCATTCTTCGACATTCTTGAATGCTGAATTGAATGGTGACTAGATGCATGGACAGGCCCAGTGACGCGATGGCACGGGCGACCGCTTGGGTGCCGGATGGCCAGGAGGATGGAGCCCTCGCCGTCGCTGTGTATTCGCCTTTCTGATGCAGACATAGGCGGACCCCCGCTTTGATATCAGAACATAGTGTACAGGTATGCAGCCCTCTACCGCCTCGAATTTCCACTACGAGCGATCTTTCTCTAGACGTGCTGATTTACGCAAAGTTTTGCTTGATTGTCGCTCATTTTATCTGTCTGCGCTCTCAGGAGAACCTGTTCCTAACGTGCTCTCTATCAAGGTACATCACCAAGTCAAGAAAGTCTTGCCCGCCATTTTCTCCTCGTCGATACGCACACGTCAGGCTTGCAGCCAGTGGCATCAACGTCAGGCGCTATTCAGATCAAGTTCATTGTGAAGGTACACTTCAACTGTCGAGTGCTCTTGGACTGGAGTTTTCTGCTCATTTCACACTCTGGGGCAGCTGTCCAATTTCCCAGGATTCACAGTCACATTCAAAGTCCTCAGCTCTCCTCAATTCCCAAAATTTCTGTGTGGTCAGAATATTAGGGTCAGTCAGAGTAACTATTTTACGCCGTTTCTGGGGTCGTTTCTGATGTCGTTTCTGAAGGTGTTTCTGTAAAATGATTTCGTCAGAAACGTGAGAGAAACGACCTCAGTTCTGACCGACCCATTTCTGGAGTCGTTTCTGCAAATAAAAAGTACGTGCCCAGGCTATTTAGTTCAATTATATTATTCTTATTTAATGTACGCCCTTTCACTCCGATCATTTGTGGCTGTCCAGACCTTGTTTACATAACTGAATTTTCCTCTTGATCGTGCACCGCCATCATCTCCACCCAATCCCGCAAGTTGCCTGGATCAACGAGGAAGAAGAGACACACGGACATAAGGACGATTGTCTAATACTCAACTTGGAGTGCCCAAGCACGAGTCCGACGCCGCAGCGCACGATTGGAAACTGTCGACGGCCTATAGTCCTGAGCCCGTCGGCAGTGGGATAGATGGGAACTTGTGAGGGATAGGTGTCCTGCGGAGGTGCGTTTCTCGTCTGTTATGAGCATATATAGGGCGGCATGCAGTGCGGGTGCGTCCCTGCGCGCTCATTTCATGCGCAATACTATACTGGCAATTCCATCTTCGTCTTGACTCTCCCAACTGACGCTCCCTCCCTTTCTACATGACTTCGTGTCCGCGTGCGGGTCCTCCCGCCGTACGTAGCCATAGCGCACCCAGCTATAACCCAACTCGCTCCCCGTCCTGGCACACGCAGCGGCGCCATTTGCCCAATTTGCCCCCAAGTGCAAGTACCTATCGTCCATCTGCAACGGCCGCACGCGCAGGTTAGGTCCACGCATGAGCATGACGCTGGGCTTTGATGAACCTGTGCGCCGTCTTTCTTGCGAGATGCGCTCGTATGTCCACACAGCGTCAACGCTACTGACGGCTCAAGTCAGACCGGATGGAGGCGCGAAGGCGCGAGACAGCGAGACGGGAAGCAGACGGAGACGCACGAGGACGAGGAGGCAGACTGGATGAGGATGTGGATGTGAGTATGCTCTGTGTTGGTTTCTGTGTAAGGCGTGCTAATCATGCGATTGCTTTTCAGGACCCAAGCACCACCTTGCTCTCCTTCCTCAACCGTCTCGCATCACAGCCCTAGGTCTCCAATCCAGTTCGAAACCAGGACCATTCATTTAGCGCAGTTCCAAGAGCTCGCCCTTTGCCGTTTCTTTCCTGGTTTCCATCGGGTTGAAGCAACACTTGCGATGACTTGGGTGCGCACGCCGTCCGCAACCCTCACCCTCTTTGATACCTATCGAGTGGATTGGCGAGTACGACTGCGGCGGTGTGAATTGGACGAGGCGCGACCTCGACCTCCTGCCTCCGGTGCTTGTCTGCTTGTCTCGTCTTGCTGTACTGGCGTGCGTCGTTTGTGTGACCTGTATATTTTCTTGTCGACGTCCCAAACTGGACCTTCTCCTGCTGGCTCGACATTAATATTCGGGCATGCGTTCAGTTTCCACACCTGCCTTGCCACCTTCGCTCATGCTCAGCAAGGCGTACAGCCTCGCAGAGGCGTGGTGTCGCTTTGTCCGACTCTCCTGATTCACTCCTTTTGCGACGTCGACCCTCGCAGAGCGGGACGCCGGGAGCCCGTTGGCACTGGCGAATAGACCCTGCACGGTACATCTGTGGACGATTGTCTCTCACGGCAGCGAGGGTGCTGCGCCCGTGCTCTGGAATGACTTTGGCCCGGTAGGAATTGACAATGAGCACAACGGTCTCGGCGGACACAGCGAGGCGAAAGAGCGCGTGGGGTGGATGGAAACTCCTGAGGGCGAGAGGTGCGATTCTAGTCTGTTCCGAGCACATCGAGGATCGTACTTACATCTGCATCCCTGTGATAATCCGGTCGCATGACTTTCCCCATCATCATTCTTAGCCTTCATGCTACCGTGGAAAAGCAGCCTCGTCCCTGTCCACCTTGCCCCAGGCTCGTACGCAGCACGGCGCGACTCGTCCTCGGATCTACCTACCACCCACCAGCATATGCAGTGACCCACAACCCAATCCACCCGGGCCCCAGCAGAAGCACAGGCGCAAATGGTGCAAGCCTCCGGCGCCGTTCTGCAGTACGGTTCCAAGTATAGGTAGGTGCCCTCGAGATTGTCGACTTGTTGAGTCATTTACGACCTCACAGCTTTACCTCCGCGCCGCCTTTCTTGAGGAAGATGCTCGCGTGTCTCGCCCCTGCTGCCGACTCTTGCGAGCGCGAACACGAGCGGACGAAGGATGTAGCAGAGGTGCGTTTGCCGTCCGTCCCGTTTGCGAGAACATCGAGGACATGACAGCGCGTGTGTCTCCGAGTTGGCCTAGTTCGGCACCCCTCTTCGCGCCTCTTTTTTTGCACCTTCGATAGGCGCCCGCCTACGGTGCTTAGTTCATGGGTTGGGGTATTTCCGACGGGCCTGCGTCAATTTGCGCCCACTTTCTCTTTGCTCTCACTGTCTTCGTATATCTGTTATCCTTTACCGCACCGCGCTGCGCGCAAAGGAAGGGCGCGTCGGCTCTTCCGTCCTGGTCCTGTGCCCCAGTGCCTGCTTTCGATGGCCAGCTGCGATGATATACTGCATGGTTCCTCCAGCATGCAGGGGCGTCCCTCTTGCGACGGGTCGCGAAATGGGAAGGAGACGGACGGGGAGGGGCATGGATGATGTGAATGTGAATGTGAATATGCTCCGGCTTCTTCACCCTCATCGCGGGGTATGTGGTAGTACATGGCTCGCTCATGCCTCCTTATTGGCTTTTGTGTAAAGCGTGCTTATAATCATCCGATTGTTTTTCAGCACAAAGGTCATCCGCAAGCACGAGCAGTGGTACGATCGCTGCTACGTTTCAAGTACAATCGTGAGCGCGCTGTCCTCTTGTATCCTCGACTTCGTCCCGCGGCCCATCGCACTGCCCTATACATAGCTTTCCTCCGAATCGAGTACGACTCCAAGCGCCCTCGCCCTCGCTAGGCTTGGCCGTTCCTACTGATTTCTGCCGGGAAAGCATCGCTCCTGGCAACTCTTACGTGCAACCCTCACCGTCTTTGCACCTTCAACTCTAGCGGCGGGTGCAGCTCCGACGGTGTTGGTCCGTCTGCTGCAGGCTCCGACATTCG